AAACTATCATATTTTCCCAGGCAGTTTCCAATTTTTTTAGACGTAATTTTATGAATTATCACCTTGTCACGTAAAACAAAGAGCTTATCAAAGCTCTACTATACGTAGAATAAATGTACAAAAATGATATATTATGCTATAAAACAACTCAAACGTTTTGACTGTTGTCTGAGTCAGACACCTTCATTTATTTACACTTTGAATAGTTATTACGGTTATAGGTAGTATTAGGAGTTTTTAATGATTCTTTAACCAGGAATCAGCACTAAGGTCGACCACAACACGTAATTACGATAAATGGATTTTTGAAACCAACTGTTACCACAATAGATATCAAATATATTGAACCCTACCCAAAATGATATATGTGTACGTGCCAACAGTTGTCAAATATTTGATCAATCACCAGTCTTGAATGGTTGTTAACAAAAATAAATAATAGTTTTTGTCCTTTGTGCGTAAAGTGTTGTGACACGTGACACAAGGNTCTAGGCCGTCTCCCATAGCTCCGTCGAGCGGTCTCCTTCGAGTATTCTTCAGTCTGCTCCCCAATATTATTTCTAGACGTCTTTTATACGTATTTCTTATCTATAGGTGGATTCTGTGCTGCAGTATTTGGTGGTGCATACTAATTTTAATTATTCAAATTGCACACGTCCACTTAAATTACATGACTACAGGTAAGGCCATAAAACGAGTCGAGTGCACAAGCAATCGACTCTAATCAAATTAATTTACCTGTCTGGGAATTATATTTGTGAACACTACATGCTGTGAGCAACATGCGCTGTCCATCGTAATCCCCCTATCATTAACACTGTCGGGGACGTGCGCATTAGCGCGTCTGATGTAGACAGCGTGTGCTATTAAAGTGACCGGGGACTTATTAGCTATAGTGTAAGTGCCAAGATGAGTGGAGGGAACGAAAGATGCTGTGTCATTAGTGACCCCGTGAACTCGTAGGCTACCATATTTTAACTTGAGGCTCTTAATGAGTAGCATTTTATCGGTAAAATGTTTAAACACTCGAGGAGAAAATAAACAAAAATTGCACTGAATAGTATTGAAAGTTCGTGTGGGTACAAAGAAGAAACCTTAGATGAAGTAGAATCAGTTAGAAATCATCTAACAGCGTAAGACTAGTGGCGGTAATTGTTCGCTATCGATGTATACGGTACGCCGCCATTCCTACTCAGATGTCCAAGATGTTAGAACATCAGTATGAAGTGCTTTCTTTCACATATCGTACCAGTATTATCGCGTGAGCATAAGTCAACTCACTACATCATTCAAAATTATAATAGATAATTTTACTGTTTAAAAAGTGATTTGCGACTTAAATACACGTTTTCGTTATCAGATCTGTAGTTGTGTATTAGCGTCTTGTACATTCCTCTTCTGTTCTGTAATGCTACTCTCTCCTCCTTCTTCAGCGAAAAACAGATAAATATTTATCGCCCTTAAATCATCAAAAATTTTGATTTGTTACCCGAATTCTAACAAACAACTACTGTGTTGGCATGTGTCCTTAGCCCCATACACCATCTAGCCTCTATACCCTTAAAAATTTTCCACCCTCTTCGTTTATGTTTAGAAAACAATTTTTAGATCAAGAGAACTTTTGTAATGTGCAGTCTTTTCTCGAATAACCCATTTGTACTCGTCACTTAAGGACTTGCTCACACTTGGACAATAATATTTATTTCATAAAAGAATGATGGTCTGAGAACGCGAAGCACCAAAACATCCCTCTTTGCTCTGATGTTTACCTTTCCATACCGTGTAACGATTGATTTCAAAAGGTGATAACCTCTCAACAAAACATATTTGTGCATTCATCAACACAAATAAATGTGTAAAAGACTGAGACCTCACACTGCGCATTCTACGCATACAGTTTCGTTATCGTTTACGACAACATTTTTTTTACTTGAAACCATTTTCAAGGATAGTACGCATATGTTGTCAAAATATCTTAAGATCCTCAAAACAAGAAGATTAAGTTCAAGTACATCTATTATATTATATCTATAGATTACTTATAAAACGATAAAATGACTTACATAGTTTTTTCATTTTTGGCGCGTCATATTACATACACAGTTCACGAGTCCACCGCTTGGTCACAAAAATATACACGTTATTTCATGCACACAACTGTATTTTCAAGAGGGAACTATAAAAACTTACATATAACTTAATACCATAGAGATCTGCGTATCGAACAACCGCTCGTCACATGTCCTGTCCGTAGCTCCGCGTCTGCTTTTATTTCAAAATGTAAAATATACATATCCAAAACATATATTTAAGAACAGTCGGATCTTTCGTATCGGTGTTCACGTTTCGGTCATGTTAAAATGCAAAGTCAATCTTGCCCTATTTTGATTATATTGTAATGTCAGATATGCAGCAAACACCGGCGTTGCAGCAGTTACATAGTACTGTTAGGATGCCCTGTTAGGATTTTCCCAACAAGTCCTTGGGTGTTTAGATATTAAATGTGTTTGGTCACTGATGTAAAGTATGAAAATTAACGTTCTGATAGGTCTAAGTACGCTCTCTAGCTCGAAATACCATTTTCCGTTCTCCAGTAAACGTTATGAGTTTCAGCAAAGCGAGCCCTAACACATAGCTGCCGCCCGCGCTTTCTCCGTGTTAATTGTTACCAAAGCTGCAGCTAGCGTGCACTGGTCCTACTTAACGTTATCCAGTCATGACATTTTGGACCCAAGAATGTTGAAAGCACTAACTTTTAAATTAAAAATATTCATTATTTTTAGAGAATTTGAAAAGTTTAAACAAAAATTAAAGTTAGTCAATGTCAGTTCTGATAACCACAAAAACAGTTATAGATACAGGCTTTTTATTTCGGAAATGAAGAGACAGTTATATTACCTATAATGGTGTACCAATGGATATTCTATTGAAAGAAAAATTGCTAGTTTTCCCTGTTTGAATGAAAAATTGAAAGGATTTCTTCACAATATCAATTCTGTGGATTGAAACATGTCAGACAGGACATGCAATCAAAATACAATTGATCAATTTCTTTATCTTTTAACTCAATTTTATATTTTTATTCATTTATTCATCTATCCATATGCATGTCCATGTATTTTTGTCAAATTAATTCATCTGTTTGCAATAAACTTACACCGCATTCAATTACCCATATTTCTTGTATCTATTTATTTATCTATTTGTTTAATTTTATTTTATCTATTTCTTTGTGCGTGTGTGTGTGTGTGTGTGTGTGTGTGTTTGTCTATGTTAAACTTAACATTAAGAAGCTGTCTGGTGGAAGGCCTGCCATACCTACACGTATCTGAGAAAGAAAGATTAGCGATGGACTTAGCGCGAGTCATATCCCCACAGACGGTCTAATGGCTTCTCTCAAAGGACCTGAAGCTAGCTCGTGGTCAATGCACGAGACCACATTGACCACGAGACCAGGAGACGATCAATTAGAAAACAAAGTTGGGATCTATTTAGTACACGAAATCTGACCCTTCCGATAGATATCTGACAAAGAGGGTTAATTATCCAAGTTCACGTTGAATTGAACCAGAGGAATCTGTTACTTAATCGCAACAGATAATCTAGCTTTCATCAAAGATGGCGTTTATAACAAGCAAAGATTTGGTTGCTGGAGTGGACTATTAACGTTTAATGTATAGACCAGTATCAATCAAGCCAACCCTATGTTTGCTGATCAAACACTTTGGAACGAGATGGATGAAAGCATTTTTAGATGCTGTGGACGGAGGCAGCTATATAATAGCATTATTCGGAGGGTAATTACCAACAAGAGAGCAAATAGTCATCTCGACTAAACTACTGTAACCAATATAACAGAAACGATCAAGTATCAAGTGACAATGTTCAAATTGCCTTACGAGTGCATCTCGATAGTGATACAGAGATGGTCAATGCAATTAACATCTTAATTGACCTGGACACCGGAAAGATCATTGAAACTTCAAAAAAACACTAACATTGAAAATAAAATGAGCTTTACTGTTCCATTAAGACGAAGAGTCCAAATATTAGGTATAAAAAGGTTGCACATGCAGTAATACTGGATATGCTCAAGAAATTATGTATCGTTCTTCTTTTTTTAATCAATCGCCTAGCTTACAAGTAAACGAAAGTTATCCAGTATTTTCGATTAATTGTGTGATAAGCACAAACAGAAAATGATGGAAACTATCATATTTTCCCAGGCAGTTTCCAATTTTTTTAGACGTAATTTTATGAATTATCACCTTGTCACGTAAAACAAAGAGCTTATCAAAGTTCTACTATATGTAGAATAAATGTACAAATATGATATATTATGCTATAAAACAGCACAAACGTTTTGACTGCTGTCTGAGTCAGACACCTTCATTTATTTACACTTTGAATAGTTATTACGGTTATGGGTAGTATTAGGAGTTTTTAATGATTCTTTAACCAGGAATCAGCACTAAGGTCGACAACAACACGTAATTACGATAAATGGATTTTTGAAACCAACTGTTACCACAATAGATATCAAATATATTGAACCCTACCCAAAATGATATATGTGTACGTGCCAACAGTTGTCAAATATTTGATCAATCACCAGTCTTGAATGGTTGTTAACAAAAATAAATAATAGTTTTTGTCCTTTGTGCGTAAAGTGTTGTGACACGTGACACAGGGTCAGCACGATTTTTTTCTGGTCTGTCAATTTTGTTTAATCAACTGGCATTAAAGAGTACTTCTGCACTGGCCCGAGGATAAGCTGTAAGGATAAGCTGCACGCAGTGCTGGCGGGAGATTAAGAACATGCAAGATTGGGCTTAGAGTTCGGGCAGCTTTAAGAGCAACTTTCGCTCTAGAATATGACTAAAAATTTAACTACCAAAGATCTTTTGAAACAATGACGATTCTACTGTATGCGATAAGAAACTGTTTGTAATATGTAACTCATGCAGCTCATGAAATAAGAAACAGCAAGTGTCACTTACCCAAAAACGTCTCACTCCTGTCTTCATGCTGCGTGTGGTTTCTAGGGCCGCCATGATATTTGCTGCGAATTTGGTGTTGAGGGTAATGAAGGTAATGAAAATCATTATTTTCTCCTGGATTTCTTTTAACTTTACAGGAAGAAACCCCGCCAGGAAGGTACTGGGGGTCATGCACATCTTCCATGGGAGGCAGCCCATCACATGGGATGGCAAAAGCAGTATTTCTCACGGCAGCATTATCTTTATTCTGTCTTGTCTTTTTATTGCTTGTGGATTTTCCGATAATTTTATTCTTAGATTTCTTTGACTCGTGTTTCTGTTTGGGTAGGCGGGGGTGGTATTCAGGTTCGTCAAAGTCTGACAGGTCTTCAGTGACATTTTGGTGGATCAGCTGTTCAAAGCGCCGCTGGTCAGGCACGTAGTGCCGGTCAACGAACTGACTGGTGGCGTGTGCACCCCGGGTGCGGTCAGCCCCCGCCGAGTACCCCGTCATGGAACTAATGTCATCGAAATCCGACAAATTTGCGCTGTTTTTGTGGGCTGATGTCACACCTAGCAGACAGTCGTCTCCTGACAATGACGACGATGACGTGCGTCCTTGAATGTTTTTGGTGAGGTCAATCTGTTTGGATGTCGGTCTCACGCTGACCACGTCTCTTCCCCGTTCGTCCAGGAGGGGTATCTGCTTCTGATACTTATGGTGGTGGTGAGGGTGATGATGATGATGCCCGTGGTTTTGGATGTCATTAATGATGTGAAAGCATTCTTCGCCTATATCGTCTATCTGCAGATCTTGATGCATTCTGCCTCTATACTACTTTACAACGGTTAAGAAGTCCACAGTACGAAAGGTGCGAGTCAAGGCGTTTGTTAATTTATCCAGCGAACTGGATTTTCATTATGTTGCTTGATCAAAAATTCCAGGTTGATGTCTGACGGTTGGTCATATATTTCATTAACCCTTGGTCAGATGTGCTAAATATACATACATCTACTATATATATGTATGCAACACGAGTACATTCATGCTTACTGTCGCTGTGTTCTTGAAATATCATCGGAAGGGGGTCCATCTTCCATCAGAACAAGTGTTAAGAATATATCTGGTAAAAAAAACATATAAAATTTGTCTCTTCATAATTATTGCCATTTGAACTCAGGGCGTAGCCATAGGGCGCAGATTGTGACTCCGTTCTCTACTTTCCCCCTGTAGCTGTGTTACCCTCCATGGAATTTCAAAGACGAATTATTTGTTCCAAAGAATCCCTGGTGCACCACGAGAATAATATAGAAATGATTAGTTCTTTAAATAACCCCAAAGGCGTGAAATCTTCCACACAATACAGCCTTGGCATCACTTCATCGCTTTTATAACGCCCAGGTAGTGTGCATTCTTTTGGTACCTGGAGCAGAGAGTCGTACATTAATTAACAACGAATATCCAGTTCAAACAATCTGTCCTAAAAGCGATCGATTCATTTTTCGATTGCCGTGCATCTTCGTTACATATGACCTATTTCCACGTAAAACTTTCGTTCCCTGTTAAGTTCGAGACTTACTTTCTTAAGCAGCATTCATTATAACGATGAATGAACTTAATGGAGAAACTAATGGAGCGTATATGATGAATATAGTAAATATGTATATGTACTAAACTTTCCGAACACTTGTTAAATTTCTGGTACTCAGTCTCTAATCTTGTTTGCCCGGATTTCATTTTCGAGGGTGGGCAAATTACGCAAGGAGTTACTCCAACTTCATGACATTGTTACTGTTGTGTACCAGTCTATTCCAATAAGACATATTGCTAATTCCAACGCGAGTTGTAATCCTTGTTATGTAATGATAAGTCGGATTTTGGAAATACAAATACGTGAAATACGGGTAAAGACAACAGCTCTTATTCACCTGTCAGACTACAGAGTGTATAGTTTCCTATAGTTTCAGAGTAAACCAATGCATGTTAAGTAATGTAATTTCGCTTTCACTGGTACATATTTGAGTTTCGTGACAGCGACTTCAGCAAATAATCCTCCCCTCTGGCTGTTCTTACCTGAGTATTATGAGCGATTTTTGCAAGTTTTATGCCAGTAAGAGAAACCGATGTAAAGACATTAACAAATTTGCCGAACAGTTCCGTAGTATTGGCAGTTTTATTGATAAAAGACTTTTAAATTTTGTCTATAAGCCACGTTGCTTGTGCCCAAGTGGGAACATTTCCCGTGCCATGATGCCGTCTTAATATATACACATGTTGTGACCCATCTCTATTAGTGACACTGCTGTGAAATATTTTTACTAGGTATACAATGTATTTCTGCAGAAGATTTAACCACCCATATACAGATTTTGTGTGATGTTAAGTGTTAATTGAAATCATCAATTAATACCGTTGTGGTATGGGCATTAATTATTCACGTGTTCACTACAGGCAACACGTAACACACGGCTCATCTATGCTGCAGCGATTCTATGTACAGGGACATGGGTTTCCCCCAAATCTTCTTATTTTCTGACACTGAAGTTAAAAGACTAAAGGAGCTGGAACAAGGTTCAACCTCACCTGGCTTTCTGGTTTTTGTAGTGGTAAAAGCCTTTCATATTTTCTCACCGTGGTCTCCGTGGCCGCTCATCGTTTTCACCTTTCCTGCAGGTGCTACATTTATAATAAAGTATTTATTTGATTTCCTTGCACTGGGTTTGCATGAAATGCCCCGTTCTATGGACTAACACACCCGTGTAAGAATCGCACAGCCCGGTGCTTTCACATAAGTAAAGGCCTTAACCTTCCGTAACTTAATCGCAAAACTGCCTTTTATTTTCATTCACAAAGGGACAATGTCGCTGAATGACGGCTTCGATTAATACATAAGAGTTTACTCGCGTCTTTAATCAAATATATAAACCTAATGATCGCTAAGTGTAAGTAAAGAAAATAACCGTTCAATACGTTTGTAAAAGAAGAATAAAATCGGGCACCTAAATTCGCCGAAAATGGTATTACAGGTATTAATAAGGCACCAAGTATTGTTGGGTCGTTAAACATACGGTTCAAAGTGAGGTAATGTTGTGTCCTTTCAATGACTAATAGCTCATAGTGTTTGCCCACTAATATTAACCTAAACGCCAGGGGATATTTTTTCGCAATGATAAGCACACTGTCTGCACAAGAGACGTTTCATAATTTGATTCAACGATAAAAATCCAATTAGCCTTGTTTTTCGTTCCTTTCCTTTAACTCCATTTGTTGATCGGAGACTAGAGCTGCACTATAATATCAAGATTGACCCAACTTTCCTACGGGAGGACGTGGCGCAGCTATTGCGGTTGGTGCACCCCGGTTTTAACTATTATAAAATACGGTACAGCTAACACATTTTTGTGAGTTTCTCAACTTGGAAGACAATTTTAACATCCCAGTGAGTTTCAGTACGAGAAAAGTCAAGATTTGTCTGAATATATCATATGAAGTCTTTATGTGAGCATCAGTCTGAAGAGGGAAGTAAAACGGTGATAATCATACATTAACATACTCCAGTACACATACAGAACATTTCAATTTATTTCAATATCACAGAGGTAAATGCTTCACCAAAAGTCATGGATATAGGCTTCAAACTGCCCAATACAAAATGTAAGCAAAATTTTATAATGTTAATAAATGGAAGACCTTGAGCTACTAAAAAATAGCACATGTACAGTGTACCTGTATATAAGGTATTGAATGCATTATTCTTAGCAATTTAATGCTTTTTTGCCTTAACATATCATATATACTATCAAAATATCTTCCGTCTAATTTTCCAAGGAAGGATCTTTCTCATAAAATTCTGTGGCAGGTCAGTGACACCTTGCTAACAGAATCTTGCTGTATACAAGAACTGTTGTTATGTTCACTAAATTATAATTTTGCTCATACACAGTCATACATATTAATCTCTGACATTGCAGAATAAAAGACTGTAACTTTCAAGCAACAAAATGTACTTGGAATACGAACAAATAATTCAATCATATTGTGCATTATCATTTATAAGAAATGATAAAAAGTAAACTAAATGAATTACACTAGTATATTATGCATAGTCAGTAACATAAAAAGACATTCCTAATTCAACATACTAGGCCACTGTGTTTGACAAACAATGCCCAATGAATCTTAGGGACCATTTCCACACATATTTGGTTCGATCTATCTCCCTGGGGAGTCTCACTTAATTGCTATCAAACTAACTGGCTTAAATGCCTAATAAAACTGTAAGGGGGTAATTATTTTTACCCCTTGCTGATTTGGTAGGCGTGACAGACATTTAAGCCTCTTGAGCTGATAGCAATTTCGCGTGAACCCCCAGGGAGTTAAGTCGATCCAGATGGATCGATCTAAGTATGGGAACCCAGTCTTATGCATCTGATCTTATGTTATATATCTGCTTCTTGGTGTTCATATCTCGACATCATAACAAAAGTAAGAGAAGAATGCATGCCTTCACCATTTATCACAGATCTAAACTTCAGGGTATTCACTAAACCCCAGTGTAGTAACTTAACATTACTCTCTGAAAACAGGGTGCACTAGTAGTCTGTTACAAAATTATCAGTCACACCCTGTGGGATATCACATAATCAATAGGAACACATTCCACTATTCCTGCTGTGTCTCTCTACATGAGCAGTATATGATACACTGTGTTCCTCACAACCCTCTGTTGTCATCTGGGACCAGAGCATTAGCTTCCACTTTGTGAAGAACTGCCTTCCTTGCATTTGCACATGTAATTTCATAGTTTCTAGCCTGTATGTCTAAATTACACTGATGGGTACAAATCATACAAAAATGTATGTTGTACAATACATGCAAACATTTCACTACATTCCTACAGAATATCCAAATCATTCCTCCATTCACACATCCCTTGTAAAATTTCTCCTCTTATATATTCTTATTTTCTGCTAATCATTTCTCTGTTCGGCATCTGCTAAAATTTCTACAATAGACAGAGACTGCCTTAATCAGTTTTCTCTAATTCACTTTTATTTTTCTTCTTGTAGAAGTCCACTGTATACTTGAAGTACTTGCCCTGTGGCTTGAATGGGTTATGGAGTTGGATAGTTGGCAAGATGTGAGGTTTGGGTCTGCCATATTTACTAGAACGTTCAGAATCTGTAGAGATTCTCCGTCTGTACACTCCAGATCCCACTTTTCTAAAATTATGAAAGACAAAGTCAGAAAAATTAATCAATGCAGAGATTACGATTATCACTGGTTGTCTATAGATAGGTTTTTCAGCCAATAATACGGTAAGGATTTATGAATAATTTCAGAACTTTGGATATATCTAAACTGTTCAAAATCATTACTAGTACAGTGTTAATGCCATAAAAAGAATGCATGCATGATTAAGTGATTGTTTTGGAAAACACATTTTAACAATGAATAAATAACCCTTTTAACAAAAGTAGATTATATAACATATTTAAAAGCTGTCATCACAGATTTATCAATGAAAAAAGTTCAAGGTAGAGCCCTTTTTCCTAATATTTCAAATGACCCATAATAGTAACTGATTGATTGTGTGAAAGTTTGGAGTGGGAGAATTTGGTGATAGTTTGGATATCAATCTCACAGAAGTCCTGTTTACTCACTCCTGAAGTGGCTCTCTTCTGGATGGTGCACTCTTCACTCTGACCTCTGGGCC